ATTGCTGGGGAGTCATCCCAAAATTTAGCAGAAAGACTAAGGGCTGTCTTGCTTCGTTTTCTAAAAGCAGGCCTTAAACTAAAAAAGGATAAATGTAAGATAGGAGTCACTTCTACTGACTTCTTAGGATTCAGGATTGATGCTCAAGGCATTCACCCTGCTGAAACTAAATTGCAAGCTATCCAGCCCTAAGGCCCCAAGCCCTAAGTCTAAGAGTGAGCTGTAAGCCTTCTTAGGGCTATTAAATTTTTACCATGCATTTCTCCCACATAAAGCTGCAGTAGCAGAACCATTACACAGGCTCTTAGACAAGCAGGCTCCTTGGCAGTGGACTAAAGTCCATGAAAAGAGTTTCAATGAGGTTAAAGCCTTACTCACTTCTAATGCTGTTTTAGTGCATTTCAATGAGTAACTGCCTATTTGCATCACATGCGATGCATCTCCTTATGGGGTGGGAGCCGTACTTAGCCATCTGAAGGCTGATGGGACACAGGTTCCTGTGGTCTATTACTCAAGGACTCTGTCTTCTGCGGAGCAAAATTATGCTCAAATTGATAGAGAAGCCTTGGCCATAGTGGCGGGCATTAAGAAATTTCATGATTTCTTGTATGGCTGCCATTTCACGGTCTATACTGACCATATGCCTCTGCTGGGTTTGTTTACCACTAACAAACAGACCCCACATATCATTTCTCCTTGTATGCTGAGATGGTCCATTTTCCTGTCAGCATATGACTATACATTAGTCCACAAACCAGGAAAGGAAATGGGTCATGCAGATGGCATGAGCAGATTACCCCTGAACCAATTAGAGCCAGATCCTGCTCCAGCCATTAATATTCTGTCCATTCAGGAGTTGCCTGAATGGAGTTGTCTCCCCTCAATGCTAGGGATGTGGCTGCAGAAACTGCCACTGATCACACACTTACACGCGTGCTGACATGGGTGTTGTCAGGATGGCCTGACAAGTGCCCAGATATTGAGTTCCAAAGCTTCTGGCACAAGAAGCATGAGTTTTCTACTTTCAAGGGTTGCCTGTTATGGGGTAGCAGGGTAGTGATCCCAGCCTCATTGAGGTCTAGAATCTTGATCTCTCTGCATGAGGGACATCCTGGTATAGTCAGGATGAAAGCGCTTGCACGCAGCCATCTTTGGTGGCCTGGGCTTGATAAAGACATCAAGGCCCAGGTGCACAGGTGCCAAGTGTGCCAACAGTCCCGGCCTGAAATGCCTCAGGCCTCAGTACATAGGTGGGAGGAAACTCAAACCCCATGGTCTAGGGTGCATATAGATTATGCTGGGCCCTTTCAGGGGCAATTCTTCCTGGTTGTTGTTGATAGCCATTCCAAGTGGCTAGAGGTTGTTCCTGTTCCCTCCACTATTACTGCCAGGACCATCCAGGTGTTGAGAGGAATTTTTGCATCACACGGTCTTCCAGATGTTCTGGTTTCAGATAACGGCCCTCAATTTACCTCTTCTGAGGCAGGCTTTTCTTCAGGCCAACCTGATCCACCATGCAACTTTGGCTCCCTTCTATCCATCCTCCAACGGACTGGCAGAGAGGATGGTGCGAACTACCAAAGATGCCCTCAAGAAACTGACTTATGGTAACTGGCATCACAGGTTAGCAGATTTCCTTCTTGTACACCGCACCACACAATGCACAGCCACAGGGAAGAGCCCTGCTGAACTCCGCTGGGGTTGCCGCCTCATCACTAAACTGGACAGGCTGCACCCTGACCGGATGGCTTCACAGGTGTCACAACCGCGGGCACCTAGAAGACTCCAGGTGGGCGATCCTGTTTGAGCAAGAAACTATGGGCCTGGTCATCTCTGGGTCCCAGCTGTGGTCTGCAAGGTCTCTGGACCGTTGTCATACGAAGTTGCCTTGGGAGACAGCCGCGTTCTTCGCAGACACATAGACCAACTGCGTTGGAGATTGGACTCTCACTCTTCCACTCCTGGCTCTGCTCTGGAGGGGGGGGGGAGGACCATAACATGCATTCTGGGTCACAGTTTCCCAGGCCTAACAGGCCATCACTAGCTACTACTGAGGCTATTTGGGATTCATCCCAAGGTTCCGCAAGTGCTCCTAACAGGAATTCACAGGATAGGGGGTCATCCCACACATCCATAATCACTCCACACAAAGAGTCACACCGGGGGTATCCACAGTATTCACATATGTCAGATAGTGCTCCAGACAGGGAGACCGACGGGGGGTATCCACACAAATCACAAGCAGCAAGAGAAAAAGAATTCCATCAGGAGCACTTGCCAAATTCCACAATTGCTCCCAAAAGGTCACCAGCAAAAGGGGTTGCCATGGAGGTGACTCCTGAATCTGGCACCTCGGGCACGTGCTTGGGGGCCACAGAGTATTGGGGCACTTCTGCTACCCAGTCCTCTCCATCTGCTGGCCTTGGGCTCAAGGGACAGTGTTCCCAAGAGGGTTCCATTGTGGACTCGGGGAATTCCACCCCTCCATGGTATGCTGGTGTGGACTTAGAGGATCCAGCCAGCCAGCAGTGGGGCAGGTCAACTGAGTATTTGGGGCAGCAAAGTCCTGGCCTGCCTAGCCTGGTAGGCAAGCAGGTAGGCCAGGCACCCTCACCGGGGTCACCTGGGAATTTAGGGCAGCAACGCCCTGGCCTGCTCAGCCTGGTAGGCGAGCAGGTGGGCCAGGCAATCTCTCCAGCCCTTAGGAGATCGCAGCGGGCCAAGTGCCCACCCAAACATCTGAGAGACTTTGTGAAGTTGCTGTCAAATCATGAGGGTTCTGTTCATGAGGCCCCTGAATAACATGAGTAACTCGTGGTAAATTGTTTTGTATTATTTTTTAATTTCGGATACATTTATTGTAGTAATAAAGTTTGAAGGGGTTTTGCCTCGAGGGCAGACTCGAGTATTCCACACTCCTTGCATTTGATTAATGAAACTATATGACACTCTTCCCAATGTATGACGTACATGTGTGTGTGCAAGTATGTTCCATCTAGGGGGGAGGGGTGTTGTGTCCTGAGCCTGCAAAAGCAGGCTTGGGACATTGCATTAGTCCTGGGCATTCCAAAAGCTGCCCAGGACCAGACAGAGTGGCGCCAGCCTTGCCCGCATGCGCAAGGCGCGAAAACACTCTGTTCGCATTGGTTGACATTGTCTGGGTTTCTGGCCATATAAAAGGCCTGCGTGTCTTTTGTGCTTTGCTTGGGTGTTGTTAGAAGGAGAATAAAGAGTTATTCAACATCGCTATGTGTCTTCATCATTCGCACGCGAACGAAGTATACAACAATAATCATCACAATCAGCAATAAATCATGCCAGGTAAATACAATAGATTTTCAGTGAATTAAATATGTAAGGGATAATTTTCTTTCTTTCACCAAAATCATCAACTGTGATTGAACTGTGATTGGAAAAACAAAATCCTATAAAAATGTCACATTCAAATTTTGATGAATACCATCTCAAATTATGTCACTCCACATCAGGTTCAGGTAGTTGCTGAGCTGCTGCCTAAATTTTAGCATAAAGAGAAAAAGACATTTCAAAAAGCCTCTTGGCAGTAGCACAGAACACAGAATAATAAGGTTGAAAGGGACCTTGGAGGTCTTCTAAAGAAAATCGTAATTCATTTAGAAATCTTATATATTCATTCCATTTGTTGAAATTCAATCAATCAACAATAGAATTGCATCCTTTTTCATAAATTGGTTGATTGGAGAGAGAATAAAAATATTTAGTTTAGAAGTGTGAAATTAGATTTTTCTGAAAATTCTTTCAGAGAAAGATATCATGGGAGTAAAATTAGTATAATACTTGGATTCTGTTTACAGCATCCACAGTTTAGGATCACACATAAAATGCAATGGCTTCTGTAGGATTTTTCTAAAAAAGATTTTCTAAAAAAGATTAGTATATGAAATGTGTAATTTATTGTATTTTATTCCTTTCCTTTTATGATCTCAAGGCTCATTTCATCTTTCTGCAAAGGGTGTGATTCAATTACTGTATATTCAGAAGTTTATACTTTTTGAGACAGTAAATATTTTCTGTATCTTAAAAAGAAGCAAGGAATTGAATAAAATAGGAATATTGAATAATGAAACTATCCTCTCCTGTTTAGTAAGAGTAGAATCACCTTGTAGTAACAAAGAATTGGGCTCAATGGAAGCCTGCTGTACTTTAAGTATATTTGTGCATTTTCCAATTGAAAAAGAAGCTGATTTTTCTGAGATTCTGTAGTCAGCGAAATATCATGACAATAAGACTGAAACAATGCTTGGACTCCATCAATATTCAGAAACTGTGTAACAGGAACACCACAGGTAGTACTTCCACTATCACCTAATTGAGAAAGTTTTCACTAGAAATGTCTAACTGCTAAGAAGATGAAGAGAAAGGTAAAGAATAAACAGGAGATTAAAGCCACTGCAATTACTAAGTAAAATGTAAGGTCTGACTGTGAATCTCCAGAAAAAAAAAAGTTGCTTAGTTCAGTCAGTGTTAGGGATATGGTCAGCCAGTACCATAATTCCTCAACAATTCTTCAGATCGTCACAGAGAATTCTAGGAGAATTCCACTCTATTATACATTCAACCACAGAAACTCATTGGATGATTTGGACCAGTCTCATCAGCCCTAACTGATAAGATGATAGCAGTGGGAACCATAGGAGGAATGAGCATCATGAATAGAAAATCAGTACATGAGGAAATTAACCAGCCTTATCATATCACTAGAATGAAACTATGGCAAATAAGTAGATCTATACGATAGACATAACATTCTGCATTCATTCTGGAACAGTGTTCATATCAACAGTATGAACATTATCCTAACAGGGCAAAGCTGAAGGATCCCAGCAGAGTAAAAATAAAATGTCAAACATCAAGTATTAAGGTTCAATAGACAGAACAAACTGAAGGGAAACCACTGTTGAGATAAATAAGGGCTTATATGATCAACACAACACACCATTAATCTGAAATATTAAACTCACCTTAACTAAGATTTGCTCATCATTCTTCGAGTTTAAATCCCCATAGGCTAGGATAGGGTCACTCACCCCACAGGTTAGAGGTTGATTGGTCAGAGTATTTGAACAGTTTTCCTCATGAAAATTGCAGTGGCTTTTTCTAGAATCTCTGGTGAGTGAAATAGTGTGGCAATAAGACTGAAGAAAGGCTCGGACTCCATCCATCCCAACAAATTGTGACACTGGGACACCACTAAAATGTACACTTCTTGACTCTAACAATTTTGAATTCCTCCATCTATACACTCTAATTGCCAGTAGCACAAGGAGGAAGGTACAGAATAAGCAGGAGACAAAAGCCACTGCAGTCACTAAGTAGAAAGTGAGGTCTGACTGAGGATCTACAGGAACTGAGATGTTGCTCAGATCTGAGAGAATTTCAGGGATGTTGTCAGCCAGAACCACCGTGAGAGTGACCGAGGCAGAGAGAGGCGGCTGCCCATTGTCCTTCACTAAAACCACCAGGATTTGCTTCAGGGCATCTTTCTCCAGAAAAAGCCGAGCAGTCCTGATCTCGCCAGTGTGCAGTCCCACGGTGAAGAGCCCTGGTTCTGTTGCTCTGATCAGCTGGTAGGAGAGCCAGGCATTCTGGCCAGAGTCTGCATCTACTGCCACTACTTTAGTGACCAGGTAACCTGGCTCAGAAGAGCGAGGGGCCAGCTCTATCCCAGTGGAGCCATCAGTGGGAGGGGAGGGGTGCAGGATCTCTGGCACATTGTCATTCTGGTCCAGGATGAAGAGAGTCACCGAGACATTAGAGCTGAGCGATGGGGATCCTCCATCCTGAGCCTTGACCTGGAACTGAATCTCTTGAATCTCCTCATAGTCCAAGGAGCTTAGGGCATAGACGGTCCCTGTCTCAGAATTAATGGAGAGATAGGAGGAGAGGGGCAAGTCCTTCATTTGGCTCTCAATGATGGAGTAAGTTATTCTGGCATTTTCTTCCCAGTCTGGGTCACTTGCTTTGAGGGAAAAGGCTGAGGCTCCTTTTGGGTTATTTTCTAGAAGGTAGGAGGTATATTTTGATTCCAGAAACTCTGGAGGGTTGTCATTTGTATCTAGAATCTGGAGAAAGATTTCAGTGACTGTAGTGAGTGGTGGATTTCCATGATCAGTAGCTGTAATGCTTATTTTATAATCTGATATAAGTTCCCTATCAAGATCATTGCATGTTACCAACCTATAGAAATTATTGAGAGATTTTTTAAATTGGAATGGGAAGTTATTGGTAAGTGAGCATGTGACCTCCCCATTGATTCCTGAGTCATCATCTTGTACATTAAGGAGGGCAATAACTGCTCCTTTTGGTGAATTTTCAGATATAGAATTGATGAAAAATGATATTGTTACTTGAGGTGCATTGTCATTAAGATCCATTACAATGACCAAAACTTTTGCCCAATCACATAATCCCCCTCCATCCTCGGCTTTCACTTCAAATTCATGTAAGGACGATTCTTCATAATCAAGATTCCCCATAATAGTTATTATACCAGATGTTGAATTTAAAGTAAATATTTTGGAATCTTCTTTTGTGATTTTTTTGAATGAATAATTTATCTCTCCATAGAGTCCTTCATCCAGATCAATAGCTCGTACTGTAAGAATTGTGAAGCCTTTAAGAATGTTCTCCTCAATACTGACTTCATAAATAGATTGGCTAAAAATCGGTGCATTATCATTTGCATCCAGAACAATGACTTGGATTCTAGCGCTTCCAGATTTCACTGGTTCACCTCCATCACTAGCTGTGAAGATTAAATCATACGTTGATTGCTGTTCCCGATCCAGATGTTTTTTCAGCACAAGCTCACCCTGTCTGGCACCATTTGCTTTTATTTGCATATCCAGAGAAAAATGACTATTACTGGTAAGTTCATATCTCTGTATAGAGTTTATGCCCAGATCTGGATCTTGAGCTTCAGGTAAAGGAAATTGGGATCCTGGAGTAGATAATTCACTGATTTTGATTTCATGTTTCCCAGGTATAAACTGAGGAGCATTATCATTTATGTCTGTAATTTTCACTTCAACCCTGTAAATCTCTATTTTGCTCTCAATAATAATCTCAAAATTTAAAACACAGTTCTCTGCCCATCCACAGATTTTTTCTCTGTCTATTCTTTCAGAGGTTTGTAAATAGCCATTGTTATAATTCAAAGCAAAATATTGAACCATACCTGTCCTGGTTGCAATCCGTAGTCCATATTCTGAAAGATTATTGCCATCTATTCCTAAATCCATTGCAATGTTCCCCACAAAAAAACCAATTGGTGTTTCTTCTCTAATAACATAATGAATGTTCCCAGAAATTGCTTTCCAAACGAATATTGTGATAAGGTATTGGAAGATCTTCTTTTTATAGCTTTGCAGCCTCTGTGTTTCTTCCATTGTCTTTACAATCTGACAAATTCCACATAAAAGTTGCCTTCAGAACATTCCGTGCAATGTTATCTCTTATATATTTTGTCCGGATGTTTCAGAGAAATTGCAAACGCGACGGTTGGAACTTTAAAACAATTTCACTACCAAATTGGCGAACAGCGACACCCAGAGGCTCTGTAGAAAACTGTAACCGATGTCTGCCATAATATTGCTTCCATGTTTGCCAGCATATAATTTTTTATGTGGATGCTGTGCTGAAATTTGCCTTTCAGTTTTTCAAAGATTTTTTTTCCCTGCAAAAGAAGTTTCTCTTTTTCTACCTTACTCTTAGGATGCTTCAGAATTTCTGTAGAATTTCTTTTGCTGGTGGTTTTGAATTTACTTTAGCTTTGGAATTGGTAACACTTCCATTATGAAAAATGCCCATGGAAGAAATTCCTTCATTATTGCTTCTTGGGAGATTTCACTGAAATATGGGAAGCCAGGAAGCTGCAGATTCCTGGAGAATTGTTGCACAATGAACATATATATACACCTATCCGGCTATTCTCTTTCAGGGTAAGCAACATTGGGCAGAGTGCAGAACAGGAGAAAGAAATAGATAGCCAAAAGAAAAAAAAATTAAAGACAGAAGATAAGAAAAATAAAAGAAAATATACTCAACTACTTTACTCTAGTATTATTCACTGTACCTTTTACATAATTTTTTATTCTAGCAAATTAATCTTGCTTCTACTGTGTTCATATACTGATTCATATATATCTTTTGATATTTAAATTTCTTAGCTTTCCCTTTTTAAAGATCTCCTTGACTCCAATCATATTGAACTCTGTAGTTTCTTTCAACCTATTCACTTTTCGTTCTTATATTTGCTTTGCAATTTGATTCTCATTCCATTCAGGTCTCTGTATGACCTTCTTTTGTGCCAGCCCATCACTTTTATATTCAGTTCATGTTCATTCAGCACCCATTCATTTTTAAAACCTGTATTTTCTTGTTTTAGAACACAGAATAACAAGGTTGGAAGGGATCTTGGAGGACTTCTAATCCAATTCCCTGCTCAAGTATGAGATCCTATACCATTCCACACAAACGTCTGTCTAATCTCTTCTTTAAAACATCCAATGATGGAGCACCAGAACTTCTGGAGGCAAGCTGTTCCACTGGATTAACTGTTCTCAGGAAATTTCTCATTAGTTCTAGGTTGGATCTCTCTTTAATGATCTTCCACCTGTTACTCTCTGATGCCTTGGAGAATAAGTTGAGCCCCTCTTCTCTGTAGGAACCCGTCAAGTCCTGGAACATTGCTTTCATGTCACCTTAGTACTACTCTTTCTTACAATAAACATATCTTGCTCTCTCAATTATTCATTGAATGGTTTAATCTCCAGACCTCTTAACATCTTTGTTGGTCTTCTCTGTGCTCTTTCTAGGGTCTCAGCATCTTTTTTCTCTTGTGGTGACCAGAACTGGACACACTGTTTCACTAATGCGATATAAAACAGCACTATCAGTTCTTGTGATCTTGATACTATCCCTCTATTGATGCAGCCTAGGACTGCATTAGCTTTTCTTGGCAGCTGGCTTACTTTTCTCACCATTAAATTGCATTTTGTTGGATATAACCCAATGTTGAAGTCTGTCAAGATCCTTCTGTATTTTGAGTCTGTCTTCTAAAGTGTTACCTATTCATCCCAGGTTAGTGTCATCTGCAAATTTGATGAGTTCCTCTTCTATCCAGTGGTGGGATTCAGCTGGTTCGCACCACTTCAGCAGAACCGGTAGCTAATTTTTTGTTGCCCAGGCCCAGAATGGACTTCCGGAAGTGGCATCCACACAGAGAACCGGTTGTTCACATATTTGAATCCCACCACTGCTTCTATCCCTTCGTCTAAACCATTTGTAAAAATGTTGAAGAGCATAGTACCTTCAGGTACCCCATTGCATGCTTCCCTTCACTTAGATGTAACTTTCATTGAGGACTAGATGCTGGGTCCAGTTGGTCAGGCAATTGCGACTCCATCTGGTGGTGGTACTGTCTATCCCATATTATTTTATCTTACCGAGAAGTAAGCTGTGGTCTACTTTGTCAAATGTTTTGCTGAAGTCTAAAGCTTGATTTAGACTTGTCCTCAAATGCACATAGGCATTGATGGATAATCCGCTATGAAGGGGTTGATGAGTAAGTTAGGTTGCAGAGGTGGCAGACAAGCTGACTACACACCTCTCAAATTATGTGTTGTGTGGAGAAGCTCATCCTGCATGCTGATTGGTTGAACTGACTTCCTGTTCTGTACTTTGTTGTTTGAGCAATCCCTACCCAGAAAGTTAACATTTGCAGAAGTATTACTGCAACAGCTCTGCAATCTTTTCTGAATGACAAATGCATATGTTCCCTGATGTGCACATCAGGCTTAAGTAAAGTATGCCCACAGCATTTCCCTGATCCACAAATTTAGTCACTTTGTCAAAGAAAGCAATAATGTTTATCTGGTATTAGCTGTTTTTAACAAAGGCATGTTGGCTTTTAATAATTGCCTTACTCATTTCTAGGTGCTCACAAATCCACTACTTGATTATCTTTTCCAGATATTTTTGTCAGGCTGACTGGTCTATAGTTTCTTGGATCCAGTGTTTCTCCCTTTTGGAAGATTGGAACACATCAGCTCTTTTCCAGTCCTCTGGCAGTTCCCCCATGTTCCAGGAGCTCTGAAAGATTTTGTTCAGAGGTTCCAAGATAACATCTGCCAGCTCCTTCAAAACCCTAGGATGTAATCTATCTGATCCTGGTGATTTTTACTTGTCTAGTGTGGATAGGGGTTTTCTTATCCTTGCCTATTTTACCTTGCAATCCTGTTATATCTCCTATGGTGCTGATTTTGATGAGTTACATTATTTTTTCCTTTTGCGTAAAGATGTAAAGAATGAGTTAAGAGTTTTGTTTTTTCCCTGTTATCTGTCACCTACTTGCCTCTTCTTCCATTAGTGGACTATTTCCTTCAATTTTTTAATTGTTTGTTACCTATTGAACGAAGCTTTTTTTTATTATTTTGGCATTTGTTGCAAGTCTTAGTTCATTCTGAGTCTTAGCTTTCCTAACTGTCCTTGCAGATTCAGGCTATTTGCTGGTATTCTGTTTTGGTTATGTGTTCCTCTTTCCATTTTTTTTATATTTATCACTTTTTTCTCTCAGTTTGTCAATAGGTTCTTTATGCAACCATGCTGGTTTTATCAGGCTCTCTTGTTTTTCTATCTTTGTGGTATTCTACTAGATTGTGCTTTTACAATATCAATTTTCAGAGTTTCCCAAGCATCTTAAGTTGTTTTCCCCTTTAGGATTTCCATCCATGGAATTCTTTCTAAACTTGTTGAAGGCCGCTTTCTTAAAGCCTAAAACACTAGTTTGACTTTGTTCTATTGCTTGTGCTTGCATTATGTTGAACTCCAGTATGATATGATCACTCTCCTCCAAAGTTCCTGAAACTTCAACACCCTCTATTATTTCATCTCTGTTAGTAAGAATTAACTGGTTTTGTTTAGATATCTTGTTAAAATATCCAGCCCATTTTCTACTTAGAAGAGTATCTCTGACATTAAATAAGAATACTTCTCATGTAGGTATGCAAGCAAGACTATTTTAGTCTTCATTACTACATTATAACTGATACTATTTATTTTTATTATCATTGCTACAGTAAATAGAACTTTCCAGAGAGAAAAAAATGGGTATACAGTAGAAAAGTGGCTTTTTTTAAAGAAAAAGTAATATAGACAGATTAGAGGAACTAAAAAAAAAAAAAAAACATTTTCACTGGTAGCTGCTGGCTGTTGTCCTTCATTTATCTCTCCAGTGTGTAGTCCCACAGTGAAGAGCCCTGATTTTGTTGCTCTGTTCAGATGATAGGAGAGCCAGGCATTCTGATCAGAATTTGCATCTACTGCCACTACTTTAGTGACCAGGTAACCTGGCTCAGAGCCTTGATCTGGAACTGAATCTCTGGAATCTCCCCATAATCCAAGGATTTTGGATTATTAGGTCATAAGCAGTTCCTGTCTAAGAATTAATGAGAGGCAAGAGGAAAAGAAATTCTGATGTCAGTCTTCGGCATAGTTATCTTAGAATAAGTTTCATTACTGTAATTTCAATAGGATTCAATTTATTTTTTGAACAAGGTCCTTTGGCCTGTTTCAATTATAGCATTAGCTATTGTGTCACTTTCCCTACATTTAGGAACAGAGGTCTTATTAAATAACCAACATTATTATTTTCTTTCAATGCAAACCTTGAAAATTTCAGTTTTTAAAGTAGATAGATTGTTATTTGCATCTAATATTTCTAATGGGAAGTATGCAGTTGCTGAAGAGGAGGAATCCCTTTGTCACTCACTAGAAATGTGATGTTTACGCTGATAACTATTCCCCATCAAGAACACTTACAATTTCCAATTTCCAAAAACTATCAAATGATTTCTTCAATAGAAGTAGAAGGCTTGTTGATAGGAAGCATGATGTCTCCATTCCCACTGTCATTGTTATGAATGGCGATAATATCTGCTGTGCTTCCCAGTGGAGAGACTTCTGCCATCTTAGAATTTAGAATAACAGAGTCGGAAGGAACCTTGGAGGTCATCTAGTCCAACCCCCTACACCATTTCTGACAGGTGCCAGTCCAATCTCTTCTTGAAAGTCTCCAGTGATGAAGCACCAATAACATCTGTAGGCAGTCTCTTCCATTGGTTGACTGTTTTCACTGTCAGGAAATTTTCCCTTATTTCCAGATTGAATCTCTCCATGATCAGTTTCCATCTGTTATTCCTTGTATGGCTTTCTGGTGCTTTGGAAAATAGATTGACCCCCTTCCACTCTGTGACAGCCCCTCAAATATCGGAACACTCCTATCATGTCTCTCCTGGTCCTTCTCTTCACTAGACTAGCCATGCCCAATTCCTTTAACTGTTCTTCATATCTTTTAGCCTCCAGTCCCCCAATCATCTTTGTTGCTCTTCTCTGCACTTTTTCTAGAATCTTAACATCTTTTATAGTGCGGAGACCAAAATTGGTTGCAGTATTCTAGGTGTGGTCTTACTAGTGGTTCATAGAGTGGTATTAGTACCTCACATGATCTTGATTGAATCCCTCTGTTAATGGAACTTAGGCTTGCATTGGCTTTTTTTGGCTGCCGCTGCACACTGTTGGCTCATATTTAATTGATTGTCCACTAAGACTCCAAGATCGCTCTCATAGTTGCTGCTATTAAGCCTGGCTTCACCCAATCTATATGTGTACTTTTGGTTTTTTTTGCCTAAGTGTAAGACTTTACTTTTCTCTACTTTGAATTTCATTTTGTTAGATAGTGTTCAAGTCTGTCAAGATCCCTCTGGATCTTGAGCCTATCATCTGCGATGTTGGCTATTCCTGCCAGCTTAGTGTCATCTGCAAATTTGATAAGTTCCCCTCCTATTCCCTTATCTAGGTTGTTCATGAAGATGTTGAAGAATACTGGGCTTAGGAAAGAACTTCCCTCCATGTAGACGTAGTAACATTAAGGACTCTTTGAGTGCAGTTTGTCAGCCAGTTAAAAATCCATCTGATGGTGATGCTTTCTATCCCATTTTTTAAAAGCTTTTCAAGAAGTAGGTTGTGGTCTACTTTGTCGAATGGCTTGCTGAAGTCCAAGTATACCATGTCCACAGCATTCCTATGGTCCATCAATTTAGTCACCTGATCAAAGAATGAAATAAGTTTGGTTTGGTATAATCTGTTTTTAACAAACCCGTGCTGGCTTCTAGTTATAACTTCGTTTGTTTCTACATGTTCGCAGATCTGTTTTTTTTTTTTTTTTTTATCTTTTCCAGTATCTTCCCAGGTATTAATGTTAGGCTGATTGTTGAAAAGTGCTGCTATTATGATCTCCACTGTCATTTGCATCCATGATTATTTGGCACTACTAGGCAATCTGGCCCCATCTTGTCCTTGCAGTTCCATTTCCTATGATTCTTCAAAGTCTGTGTTGTCAGTCTCCGTTATCTGCCCTGTAGAAGATAAATTCTAAGTAGAATTTTTAGGAAGTCTTATCTG